CATCATGAGAGCAACTAATAAAGTCTATAAATAAGGCAAATTCCATTCATCATCCATAATATCTACAACATTATCCAAAAGAATATGTCACACCTTGGCATCTACATCCAAAAAGAATATGTCAAACAATGGTCATTACATCTTAAAATCACACTTAATCTTGCAGTGGAATAAACAAAATAACATCTATCCATTTTATCAAAATGCATCTCCTAGTCTAGGACATGGAGAGATTAACTCTAGACATCCCCCTCGCGATCCACGCTTCCATCCAATTGCGCTTCTCAAGCTACCTGCTCATCAACTCCGAGCTCTTCATCTAAACTAACATCAGAGAATAAATAGTATTTGTAGGAGGTGAGCACTAAGCTCTGTAGCAACATCCTCCCAAACTTGAACATGATTTAGAAAACATATAAAAATAGTTCGGTCCGGTCCCACTTTCTAAAATATCATATATAACTTGAAATAAAACAGTGACAATTATTCGATCTAAAGTTAACGCAATAGCAATAAGTTAAATGAAAGGAATAAACATGTGAATAAATCAATTAATCATTCAATAGCATCATCTCATATTCTCATGTATGTTAGTTGATTTTCATGAATCTACATGACGATTCTACCTCATTGACCCATCATAATCACACAAACCAATTTAGGAAGGGCGTATATTGTCTCCCACGGCATTGAGGAATCCTTCCAAGGAAAAGTATACTATCCCTTAGCCTTGAACTTACGTGAACAATAGTAGTTGCTCTCACAAATAACAATCCAGTACAAGTGTTAGGAAACCATCTCACCCCCACTGGGATAGACTAACCTCTAATACTCTACGGCAATTCTCGAATGTAATTTAAGTCCATCACAAAAAATCATATAAGAGATGCAATACCAATCATTTTCTCAAATCACAAGTATATTCAAAACCCCCAATTTCATAAGTATTTTTTCAACATAACCATTCAATAAAATAAGCAAGAGATCATCAAAAGATAGGCTTTTATTGTTCCAAGCAAAGCACTAAAGTTTTTGAATCAAGAACAAGAGGATATCAAGAAGAAAAATCTATTTTTCCCAAAGTTAGGTTTTTNATTCTCGAATGTAATTCAAGTCCATCACAAAAAATCATATAAGAGATGCAATACCAATCATTTTCTCAAATCACAAGTATATTCAAAACCTCCAATTTCATAAGTATTTTTTCAACATAACCATTCAATAAAATAAGCAAGAGATCATCAAAAGATAGGCTTTTATTGTTCCAAGAAAAGCACTAAAGTTTTTGAATCAAGAACAAGAGGATATCAAGAAGAAAAATCTATTTTTCCCAAAGTTAGGTTTTTACATCAAGAACATGAATTTCTAGGGTTGTCAAACCATAAATTCTTTCAAAACATGGTAAGGTTTACAAGAACATCAAGAATCAAGGATTCCATTACATATATATATGATTAAGAGTCAAAACATATGTATATATATAAGCTCTAGCCTCAATAAACAAGAGTGGAAGAAAACTCATACCTTCTTCTTCCTTAGTGTTTTTGAAAACCTTGAGATTTTGATCTACTTCAAAGTGAAAATTCCTCTTGATATTGTGTTTTCTACCCTTCTTTCTTGTTTCTCAAAGCTTTCTAGGGTTGTAAATGGTGTATGGAGGCTAAAGGAGGTGTCCTTATGTATTTATAGGATAAGAAGTGGCCTCCCGTGCATGATTCTGAAAGTCAGAATTCATAGCTCACATTCGAACGTCATTTGACGTTCGAACGTCACTTANAAGTTCCCTTATGTATTTATAGGATGAGAAGTGGCCTCCCGTGCATGATTCTGAAAGTCAGAATTCATAGCTCACATTCGAANGATAAGAAGTGGCCTCCCGTGCATGATTCTGAAAGTCAGAATTCATAGCTCACATTCGAACGTCATTTGACGTTCGAACGTCACTTACTCCCAGTACTTTTGTTTTTCCATCAGACAAAAAGTACTGGAACGCATTGTCATTCAAATGGACTTTCACGTTCAAACGTAGGTCGTTCGAACGTCATTTCATGTTCGAACGGTCTTCCTGTTTCTTCTGAAACTTCCAGTAAAGCTTTGGCCTATTTAGAGGTCGCTTTGGAAACTATTCGTGAAATACACTTTTGTAGCCCTAGAAGTTTGCTATCGATGGTCAACATTTCAAATCAAATGGACATCAGAATAAAATTTTATGATCCAAATACTATGTAGTGTTCAAAATCTTTTTTACCCAAATTTTGTCTAAAATGTATTTTCACTCAGGAATACTTCTAAAATTCTACAACACACCCTTTTATCTCTACTTTTATAATCCACCTAGTTCATGCACACATGATTACATATATTAGCATTTCAAAACATAATTACGTTGCTATATAAAGAATATAATGTGGGGGTTTATAGATTCATTAGTAAACCCCATAACATGAAAGTTACCTAGGTTGAATGATGAGTTTAATGGACCTAAATGGTGCCAATAATCAAACAGTAGCTTGGTGTTATGACCATTCCCCACCAAGTGAGCTAGATAAGGCCTAATGAAGTCCCTAGCCTTTAACAAATTCAGCCAATTCCAAGAACAACAGTGATGAGTCTTCACCTCCCAAAAACTTTTTCTTCTCAAATAATAAACATGAATCCAAAGAAACTAAAGATTTTGTTTATCAGTAATCAAGAGCCAGATAAATCTCATCATCATAGCATGATTGCCATCCTTAATTTTCTTAATGCCCAGGCCTCCCTCTTTTTTGGGTTTGCAAACATCCTCTCAGCTAACTTTTGCTTCAAAGTTGCCCAGCTCAAAGCCCTTCCATAAGAATCTCTTCATTAATTGCTCAAGCTTATCAATAATCTGTTGAGGGATGTAGACATGAGAGGACCAGTAAATCTGGATACTAGTGATAACAGATTATAGCAGTAGAAGCCTCCCAACATAAGATAAGAACCTATTTGTCCAACATCTAATTCTCTTTTCAATCTTAACCACAAGTTCATTGCAATGGGAAGATCACAATCTTGTAGAGATCAGAGGGATCCCAAGGTATTTAAAAGGGAGGTGACCTTCAGAAAATCCAAAATCCTGCATAATTTGCAATTTAATGTCTTTATGGACAGAATAGAAGAAGACGTTACTCTTAGTAAAATTTGCATCCAGGCTAGAGAGTGTTTGAAATTGGGTTAAAACAGCTTTCACAATCTAAGTAGAGGTAAGATCCCCATGACAGAAAAGTAGCAGATCATCAAGAAAAACAAGATGAATAGACTAATCTTCTTACATCTCCAATGATACTTAAAACCCTTGCTAGAACAGATGTGTGATTAAATTATGGAAGAAAAAGAGCCTCCATTGCCAAAACAAATAAGTAAGGGGAGAGAGGATCCCCTTGCCTTAGGCCTCTAGAGTTTGAGAAAAAGCCCACCAATTCACCATTGGCATTAATCGAGAATTTTGGAGTGGAAATACAATGCCAAATCCACTTCTTAATGAGAGGAGGGAAGTTCATGACTTTTAGAACAACCATTAGAAATTTCCAATTCAAATAATGAAATGCTTTCCTAGGGTCCACCTTAATAGCACATCTAGCACTACCTTGATTTATGTGATAAATCTCTAAGATCTCTTGGGCAATAAGGATATTATCACTAATTCTCCTACCGTGATTGAAAGCAGCCTAAGATTTGTTGATAAGCTAAGGGAGAGTGTTTTTTTATTTTGGAAGCAATCTATTTGGATATGGCCTTGTAAATGGTATTGCAACAAGAAATAAGCCTAAAGTCACTTACAGCAGAGGGATTAGGGATCTTAGGAACAAGGGCAATCATTGTGGTGTTTAATTCCCTTAATAACCTACCAGAGTTGAAAAATTCCTTGACAGTAGTAGTAACATCATTCTTAATAATAGGCCAAGCCTTCTTAGAAAAGTATGAATTAAATCCATCAGGTCCAGGGGCTTTATGGTCACTCATAGAGAAGAAAAACCTGCTTAATCTCCTCATTTGTGAACATAGGACACATATCCAAAGCCTACTATTCAATAATTTACAATGGATGACATTTGTAAAGCCTCTAAGTAAGAAATCCATGTTAGAATTAGAAGAATTAGGTGATCCCTAGTTAAGAAGATTATAAAAGTAATTAGAAGCCTCATCTTGCACAGTAGCCTCACCCTCCACCAAAACTCTATCAAATCTTCTAACAGATAGAATTTTCTTTATATTTCTTCTATTCATCAAGGTTTTAAAGAATAAGCTAGTATTATTATCACCCTCTCTCAGCCAAAGCACTCTAGACTTCTGTTTATACTCCATTTCCTCAATTTTAGAAGCAGCAAGATAGCTATTAAGAATGACCTCAATTGATTCCTAAGGGATTGATTAGAGGGATTAGCATAAATACCTTTTTGACATGCCTCCAAAGCAGATTTAGCTTCTAAAACATTAGCTATAGCAAACACCATCCTCCCTCTCTCTCTCTCACTCTCTCGCCTAGCCCCAACAGACACGATTCATCACCTCCACCTCCACTCCCCTCTTTGTTTAGTTTTGCTCTTCGTTTTCGTATGTCTGTCTTCCTGTTTCTATTTGTTTGGTTTTGCTCTTCGTTCAAATGCCCACAAGCTGTTCAATCAAATGCTAGGTTGAACCTGAACTTAGGTTATTAATTTAAGATGAACTTAGGTCATAAATCATTCAAATTTAGTATCAGAGACAATGCTAATTTAGAGGTTCTGATTGGAATGTAGTTCTTCCCAAGAAGAGAATTTGCAAGCTTTGAGCAGTCAAACTAAATCAATTTTCAATTCAATTTAAAAAGAAGAACAGACCATTGTTTCTTGTAAATCAGATGTTACCGTGTTTCCAATGATATAAACTGTAAATATCTGATATCTGGTAGAATGCAATTTCTATAAATCTGCTATCAGCTAGGTTGGTTTAAGCAGTTTGCTAAGGTTTTCCAGCTGGGTGCCATGGTGTTGGGGTAGAATTCTGCTAGTTTCAGCTGGTTGGTTCTTTCCAGATGTTCTTGATTTTGAAGCTGCAGTATCTGCTAGTTATATGCTTTTGCTGAGATTGGTTGTTGCTATGTTGATGAGGAGATGGGCTTCTGATGATGTTGTAAGGCATGATGTGCAGTACTGTTGTGTATTCTGCACTGTTGTGTTGTATATGGTATGCAGATCTAGAAGTCTAGGTATTGAGCTGTGATCAGGAGCTGTGTTTGGAGTCATTATACAGGCAGACTGTTGACCTGTTCTGATATTGCAGCTTATCAGATAGGGCAGGAGCTGAGTTGCAAGGCCAAAACTGTTGCTGTACAGGATTTTGGATAACAGAACAATTATTTTTCTGTTTTTTGTACAGTTTACTGTTCACACTATTAAAACAGTTACTGTTTACTTAACAGTTTCTGTTTTTGCTTCTTGTAATTTTGGATTTCATTCAATAAAATTTTCTCTTTTCCTAAAAAAAAAAATGTTTATGAGTTTACATTGGTATTTTGTTAGTCGTATAAATGCTTAGCTTAACTCGGGATAAACAAAAATCTTGGTTCCGCCCTTGCATAAGGCATATTGGAATTGGGCTAAGGCTACTAATTTGAAGTACTTTGGGGTAAAAATGAACGAGTTGAAAGCCATATCCAAGGATACTTATGAGTGGTTGGTTGAGAGATCAACTATTGGTTGGGCAAGATCACACTTCAGCACTTTCCCAAAATGTGCCATATTGCTAAATAATCTTGCTGAATGCTTCAATACTTACATTCTTGATGCTATGGATGAACCTATCCTTAAAATGCTTGAAACAATTAGATGTTCACTNTACCTTTTTGACATGCCTCCAAAGCAGATTTAGCTTCTAAAACATTAGCTGTAGCAAACACCATCCTCCCTCTCTCTCTCTCACTCTCTCGCCTAGCCCCAACAGACACGATTCATCACCTCCACCTCCACTCCCCTCTTTGTTTAGTTTTGCTCTTCGTTTTCGTATGTCTGTCTTCCTGTTTCTATTTGTTTGGTTTTGCTCTTCGTTCAAATGCCCACAAGCTGTTCAATCAAATGCTAGGTTGAACCTGAACTTAGGTTATTAATTTAAGATGAACTTAGGTCATAAATCATTCAAATTTAGTATCAGAGACAATGCTAATTTAGAGGTTCTGATTGGAATGTAGTTCTTCCCAAGAAGAGAATTTGCAAGCTTTGAGCAGTCAAACTAAATCAATTTTCAATTCAATTTAAAAAGAAGAACAGACCATTGTTTCTTGTAAATCAGATGTTACCGTGTTTCCAATGATATAAACTGTAAATATCTGATATCTGGTAGAATGCAATTTCTATAAATCTGCTATCAGCTAGGTTGGTTTAAGCAGTTTGCTAAGGTTTTCCAGCTGGGTGCCATGGTGTTGGGGTAGAATTCTGCTAGTTTCAGCTGGTTGGTTCTTTCCAGATGTTCTTGATTTTGAAGCTGCAGTATCTGCTAGTTATATGCTTTTGCTGAGATTGGTTGTTGCTATGTTGATGAGGAGATGGGCTTCTGATGATGTTGTAAGGCATGATGTGCAGTACTGTTGTGTATTCTGCACTGTTGTGTTGTATATGGTATGCAGATCTAGAAGTCTAGGTATTGAGCTGTGATCAGGAGCTGTGTTTGGAGTCATTATACAGGCAGACTGTTGACCTGTTCTGATATTGCAGCTTATCAGATAGGGCAGGAGCTGAGTTGCAAGGCCAAAACTGTTGCTGTACAGGATTTTGGATAACAGAACAATTATTTTTCTGTTTTTTGTACAGTTTACTGTNTTGTATTGAATCATCATTTTGGTGGTTTCATTTGTCGTTGATTGAGTTAAGCAATTATCAAGGATCAAAAGACGCAACAAGATTGAACAAAAAACTGGTGATCATAACATTTGCTTCATTACAACTGATTGTGCTTACTAATATTAATGCGTCTGCTTTGTATACAAGAAGTTTTTGGGCAAAAAGTTCACAAGATATTGCCCCTTAATAACTTCTCTCAAAATACAATCCAAAGCATAACTTCAACATCAAATTCTGGAGTTAAGCTAATTCTCAAGCTCTGTTTTGTCATCCTCCACTGAACCAACACATACAACAATGATGATTAACATCCAAATTACGACCAAACACCCAATCAAAACTCTTTCCCTTATATGGTGCCTCTTGATTCATCTCAACAGCCCTTCAATTGTGTGTCCTTCACGCATAGAATGAGGAGGATTATACCACAGAAAAAAAAACCACAACCACGTTGACTCAGGATTGTCAGGTGTCAATTGGGGAACGATCGATTGGGTGTCCAATAAAGATAGAGGACAATATGCTTCGCCGTGCTGAAGACTAGATTGCATTTCAGAAGTTGGTGGCGTAGATGATTCAAGTAATGCATCTGATGATGTGCTAGGTTCAGGACCGAAAAATTGATCTAAAATGTGAAGAGAATGGACTTGTGAAATGAGTGGAACCTTGGGAGGATAGAAAAGAGCTGTCAGGGAGGAAGGACGGTGAGATTAGAAGAATGGTCATGCAGATTCACAAAAAGGAACAAATTCAGTTATTCAAGAATTAAAAAAATTATTTATTTAGAAAATAAAAAAATTCAGTTATCCAGAAATAAAAATTATTTATTTAGGACAAAAAATTATTTATTCAATAGTCAGTCGTATTACTCCACTTAATTGCAAATGATATAACTAAACGGTGGAGAATTTTTTTTTTTTTTAAATGTAATTTGAAAAAATTCTAGCACAATTAAAAAAAACAAAAAATATGGTCCCGGCATGTTCTTCTTTATTTTTTTTTTAAAAATTAAATTAAAAAAATTATTACTAAACTTACCCCAAATTTCTCACAGCCAAGAAAATGTCGACCCGGATTTTGGTAGGTCTAGGATGTTCGCATTACAACCTTTCTCCCAAAAGAACATTAGGCATCCATTGTGTAATAAACACAGATCTGATGAGATTTATTGTGTCTTCGTGTAGATCTTCACTCTCCTCGTTCATAAGTCTGGTTCGTATCAATGTCTCAAGCCTTTGTTTGTAGTTCATGGACGGTAAGAAGTAGAGATAAAGTGAGGGAGTTTGTCCAAAATGCCCTTCATGACTTTCACGCGAGTTGTCGTCCATGTGATTCCATTTGGTTTTCAAAATGAATTTAGACGGAAGTATGGAGTCGAACCATAACCCATACTTTAAGGGCTATATTGTCCAATTTGAAACTCCAGGATCAAATAGGAATTTCATCAATACCTTAGCGTGTAAATTGCAATTCACCCTTACAATAAAACAAAGTCCTTCCTCAGTGTGATTGGGATTTCCTCTTAAAAAGAAGTTTTTTTTTTTTTTCAGTTCTCGGTTTATAGTTAATATTATTTGGGATTACTAACAATCCAATGATCATAATGAATTAAGTCATCAAATTAAGATCGAAATAATAGTGTTAAATATATATTAGCTATTACTGCTTTGATCCCTAGATTTGTAGTTTGGGTTTGTAGTGAGCTGGTATTTTATTAAACTCAGCAATTGTAGTACATTATATACACACATACATGTGTGTAGAAACAAATATATATGGCCAGCACCAAATGTGACATATGGTAATCTAGTCTAAGATTCTTTTATACAATTAGACAAACATTTAGATTTGATTTTAGACACGTTCGAGAAAATAAGGCTTCATATAGTTAGAAAGAAAAGAATGATAAAATGTGAAGTGAAAGAAGAAAAAATGATAAAAAAAAAATATGGACAAACTCTTTTAATGAAAAAAGTCGGGTTTTGACAATACGTTGCTCATCCAGGCCTTGACCTTGCATCCAACCTACACCATGCAGTTACTATGTGATTTGTCCTCTTCAAGAAAGGTAGGCGTTGCCTATTTACTCAGACAATGCTCTGAACACGAAAGTATGCAATTCCGCCGCCCTATTCTATTACTAGACATAATTGGGAGAAGCTCATTCGAAACTAGAGTTAGAAACGCCTTATTTTGTTTTGTTCCCGTTGGCCGAATCAATCTACACATGAGGGATGGGGAGCTGGACTTCTAGCCCGTAGAAAAGGCTGAGTGAAATCCGGAGATCTACGAAGGAATGTAAAAAACGAAGCAATTCTCTGGGTCCCTACCGACACTGGTTGTGTGTGTCAAACTGCAAGTGTATACAATAAAATAATAAATCACACAGCAAGCAACGATGGATGAAACTCGAAAACTATATCAATTGAAAATTCTGCTTAGAGATCGCAATTATAGTCGAAGTAGGAATCTCCATCGAGACCTCATTTTACCTACCAATACCTAGGGTAGCCACCTTGAAGACCAAACATGGGATAGGAACAAAAAGATAACTACCAAAAGACACGGGACTATTATACTCAAAATGTTTGTTAAGGCGATTAGACCAGTTGAAAGGTTTTGTTCTATTTATTTTGGAGAAGAATCAAGTACAAGTTATAACACGGGGACATACGCATATTTTCATGTATGTATTTGGTTTACATAAAAAATTTGTGATAAAGTTTTTAAAAAAGTTCATTTTATTGTTTGAAAAAAATGAAAGTTATAAGAATTTTTTTTCAATTTTTTAAATTATCTTTAATTATTTTACATCGATTGAAAGAAGAAAAAAAATATGTATTATAATTGAAAGTTAAAAAATTTTAAAAAAATGGCTTGTAACCTAATTTTGTGATAAGCATCAATACGAAGGTTTTTGGGACAAATTATATGGTTAGCCAAATTCATACCAAAATTTTTTAAAATTAATAACCAATAAAATATTTTAAGATAAATAAGGGTAAAATGAGAATTTAGTTATAGATCATAAAAAAAAGTTAGTTAGTTAGTTGTGAGAAAATTCAAACATGAAAACAAATTATTTTTTCCATCATTTTCCATTTCATGCTAGCCAAACACATGAAATTTTAAAAAAATTCTATTTCTTGGTTCTTTTTACTATTATCCTGCTAAATAAACGGACTCTTCACAAATCTTTAATTTCTAATGGTCCATTTGGTAGATAGGGTGGAAGGAAAAATAAAAAGATGGAAAGTGGGAATGATACATTATCTATCATTCAAGAGAGAAATCCTTCATTTTCTCATTTGTGTTTGGTAAAAGGGATGACAAGTATGAAGAATTGATTTTTTTTTTTTTTTGTGTTTACTAAGATGGAAAAAATATATATATTTAAAATTTTTAATTTAATTTTTATTTTTTAAAAAATATAACTACATAATATATAATTGATAAATGTGATATGTGTATATATTAAAAGATATATAGACAAATAATATACATTTCAACATACATAATTAGTTTTTCATCCACTTTTAGTCCCAATTTTGGAAGGATTGATTTTGGTAAGTTGGAAGAAAATCTAATTCATCTACTTTTTCATCCTTATAACACATAATGTTTTATACATCTTTTCAACTTTTTATTCTTTTATTTTTTCATCGTACCACTTTTCGAGAGTGACATTCTATTCAATATATTTTTATTTTTATTGAAAAATTACTTACATATATTTAGAGCTGATAGTCGAACAAGTTCGAGCTGAGTGTAAAATGTTTATTTTCTTAACTAAGCCTAAAAAATTATTCAAGTTCGACTTGTTTAGAAAACGAGCAGTGTCTGAACGAGTGCAAAACGAGTCGAGCATGAGTATTTGCACAAAACTAAGTTGAGCCTGTCAAGTTTGAGACGGACATATTTTTCAAACGAGCCTAAACAATTGTTTAAATTTGGCTCGTTTAAAAAACAAGCTGAGTTTGAATGAGTAAAAAACGAGTCAAATCCGAACTGAGCTCAAGTAGCTCGATTTGATTAACAGTCCTACGTGTATTCAAGTGAGACTCATTTTAGGCAAGTAAGTTCTTCACTCATTAATGATGAATAATCCGTCAAAAAATAAATTGATGAGATCTAAATCCATATAGTTTCTAGATATGGGCCTATATACAAAAATACAAAAACCAACAAAGGATGTTAATTAACTTTTGAAGCTCATCAAGCAAACAATCAGAATGGTCTCTTTGAAGTTCAAACCTCGAGGCCGAATTGGAATTTTTCGTACATCAGATAACAATATTGCTCGCTCGCAATCCCATTTTTCTGTATCATATTAAATAGATATGAATTTGGGTGTGTCCGCATTTAATTCAACTGGAATTGAATGTGAAAGGTATAAGGTATAAATAAAATGCATAAATAAGTTGATTATTTGATAAAACTTAGTTGAAATTCAAATATAATATAATAAAACTCACTTCATTAATTAGAGAAATTGGTGTTTTAAATTTTAATGAACACAGATTTAAATTAAGAAAATAAAATTTATTGAATAACTGGATCGAAAGATAGTACTATTCGAATGCATGGTTGTGTGGCCAGAAGAGAGAGGAGTTGTAGTATAAAAACTAAAAAAAATAGAAAAAAAAAACATTTGGGGGAGTCTGAAAAATAGACAACACCTAGTCGAAAACTAAAAGACGGCCGTAAATTTTGGCCAACAATATAATTTATTAGAATGTATTTCCTGCCAGAAAGGGTAATGTTTCTAAAGAAGTTAAGCATAGAGTATTCAACCAAGGAAGGTAATCTAGTGG